AACATCTGTTTTGGTTCTGATTGTCATGATTATCGTGCTGAAATTATGCGTTTGAAAGCATATGAGTTTAAACTTCTGATATAGGGTTTTCTGAGCGCACACATCCGAAGCACACGCACAGAAAGCAGCTGTCGCAGCATGCGAGTACTAAACTAAGTTCTCATTCACACACAAGTTTACCTTAAAAACACACGAGTTACAAAAAACAGTGAGCCGGTTATGTTACGAAGGTAAACAGCTGGGAAATAAATCTCATGTTTATTTTAGATCTGTGTGGCAGCAGCAATATACAGTAAATAAATCAATAAATACACTGCTCTGTTGTCTCCTCTGAGGCTGGGAGTCTAAACTGTGTTCTGTGCTCATCTCTGCAGACAAACACAGAACAGCTAGTATGTTTTACTCAAACTTTCTCCATGGCATTAGAGCTGGTACACCGTTGTCGCTTGCAAAATCAAAATGACGGCGCCATGGGTGTAAACTTACAGATTAAGGGGCGGTAATATTATAATGAAATTCCTTTGTCACGTCACCAAGGGAGCGAAATCAAACGCGCTCGTTTTTTCAGACGCTTGCAGAAAAAGGCTTACCAAAACAAAGTTACTGGGTTCATCCTTTTCCACGGTTGGTAGATGCACCGGGGGCCTGATTATAGCACTTAACACCTGGAAAAGTCAGATTTTCATGATATGTCACCTTTAAGCGTTTGAACGACTGCCGCAAACTTTATAAAGACAGCTCGTGTTTGATAAGAACCCTTGGAGTCCCTCCTTTGCCTGAGACTAAATTTTCCCAATACTTCCCATCCTCAATGACAAAAGCATCTTTGTGTGTATGAAGGCCTCTGCGTGCCACGGTGCAGGTGCTCTCCACTAATGACCATCAATACAGCTCCTCGTCATTCTCGACTTGAGGGCACTACTTAGGGAGCGACTGATGGATTAGGTGGTTTCTATGGAGATGAAGGTGGTTTGGCCGGATCTTGAGGATCTGATTAGGACTGTTGACCCAAATGATTCAATTTAACCGAAGAGGCAAATCAAACGGTTTGCGACTAATTGATGAGATTGGCCTTTCACTTCAGAGAATGGGAGTGTAATAGAGGACCTGACTGAAGACATGGAGACGCTCTGATGCTCGGTAATGACAAATCTGGGTTCTTCTGTTAAAGAAACCCCAGAATCAAGTGTTATCGTCAACATGGAATCAATATAGACCCCATTTGAACTCGCTTCACATCTGAAATTATTTTTATTTTTCAATTGACGTGACGCTTCCCCATATAATTAAAAATGATTATATATGTTTACGGATATATTTGTAAATATATTTCAGAATATACAACAAATATATAGCTATTCTAAAATATATTTAATATAATGCTAATGTTAAAATCTAAAAAAACGATATAATTTAAATCTATTTATATTGTTCAAAATAAATTTTTTTGAATTTATTTTAATATCAGAAATGTATTTTCTTCCACATTTGTAATATATTCTAGCATTTGAAGTTTTAAACTAAATATTTCAAATTTGAAAAATATATTTCCATAAACTGCATTGCTTACAGCGTATATTTAGCCTATATTTTTGGTCAAAGTATATATTGCTGATATAAATACATAAATATATTTCAATATTTAGTTACTTATATTTCCTATATTTACAAAATGTATTTTAGGATTGGAAACATAATGCACAATATGCAATATATTGTAGCATTTGAAGGTAAAAAAACAAAAAAACTGAAAAATATATATCTTTAAGCTGCATTGTTTATTTAGCATAACTTATTTTGGCCAGAAATAATAAAAAAAAATTAAGATTTTATAGTACATTTACATAAATATATTTTGATAGGCTTTAGTGGTTTATATTTCCTATATTTATTATATTTACCCAAATTCTATTTTAAGATTGGAAACACAGTTTTTGGACATTTTGTGATACATTTTAGCATTTAAATAAAATATTTAACATTTGAAAAATCTATCTCCTTAAGCTGTATCTTTAAAACATACAAAAACACATTTACATGAATACATTTTGATAAGTTTTAGTTAGTTATATTTCCTATATTTCGCATTTTTACCTAAAATGCATTTAAAGTTGGGAAACAAAGGTTTAAATGAAATATTATACATTTGAAAATCTATTTCCTGTATTGCTTTTTAAATATATAGATTTTAAAATGCATTTATATACATAAATATATTTTGATACGTTTTAGTTATATTTAAATAAAAAATGATATTTTCTTATTTTTACCCAAATGTATTTTAAGACTGGAAAATGTATTTTCATGGACATTTTGTAATATATTTTAGCATTTGTTTTAAACGAAATATTTTCAATTAGGGAATTATATCCCATATATATCCCAATACATTTCCATGAAGTCGAGCTGATTTATTATCATTTATATTTCTTTTTTGCTGTTTGGCCACCCTACATTTCAGAAGTACATCACATTGCGAATCACGTGTTGTGATGACTTCACGACGCATTAAAAACCAAATGAAATGGAAAAAGGGACGATATTTAACCTCTGGAAAAGCATCCAGGCCACATTTGTTCCAACACCTCTTCCAGTCAATGTGAACTCAGCCGTATTGGCAGCTAAATCAGGTCTTGGAGATACAATCGGCTGAAACTCGTGGTCTGAAACAATCGGCTGCTTTGTGGAAGCTAAAACACAGTTACACAATACCGAAGCCAGCCGGTCTCCAGCGACAAGAGCATGATGGGAAAGCGCACACAACTTGAGTATTTGTTGTGTTTTATTGACACCCGATCTGTTTTTTTTGGTTGTTGACCTTGTCTGAATCTAAAAGGTCACGTTCTTGACTCCTCAAAGATGCTTTAAGAAGATCATCTGCGTAGGAAGCCTTCAGTTTGCCGACTTTGAGAAGTTCAAGTGTCTTAATTACACCGTTTTATCAAATAGCGCCTGCTGATTCTTCCTCTGTTGTGCTAATGAGGCGAATCATGCGATACTCAAAGCTTACTAATCGCTTTTTGGAGTCTCACTTTATTCACAAAGGAGACTGTCACATTACATCTGTCGTCAA